TAAACATCTTCCAACAGAAGCATAGGTGAATATACATTTGAACCTAGCGAGGGGACATTGTGCTAGGGTGGTAGTCTTACATGGATGTCTTGGAGGTGACGTATGGACTCCTGGAAGTCCATTGCTTACACATTGAGAACTATTGTTCGCGGTTGGTGGTTGGTCAGCTTTTATGGGTCACTTATGGGGATTTGAGCAGCAGACTAACAAAACAGAATGTGCAAGTTCCCATGCATAGTAGTGGTTAAAGTAATCTGGAAGATGGCAGGAGTTGCAATGTATGGAGATTGTTGACTGTACAGTCAGCATGTGTCTAATCAGACTTAATAACTTTGACTCAATGCAGGTATTGCCAGAGCTGATATGACTCCTGGAGAGCCTCTCTGCACAGTTCCTCAGCTTCCAGGAGGTTTTATTAGTCTGGGCTCCATGCTGTGCACATCCAGAGTTGCTTCTGATCCAGCACTGGAGCTAATCTGTTCTGTGGCATTAGGTGATTATGCATCATTCTGCCCAGTGCTCCAAATTCCTGGAATACTTTGCAGGTCTTATTAGCTGTAGAACATCCAGTTCAAAATACTTCAGAGACTGAACAGCTGCATTCTCATCCAGCAGTCCCAGGTGAAACAACGTGGACCAGATCTTGTCTGGCTCTGTGCCCTAGATTCCTTCCTCTGGGCGTACCTCAGTGTCGATATGGTGGTGATTGGTGCTATGCGTGCGCACGCATGAGCATGTACATGTGCTGGTTGCGTGGTGGATGCTTTTGAACATGAGAGAAGAGGACAGATCAAAGTTCTTAGTCGTAGTGTGCTATGAGTCCCAGGTGGCGCTCCCAGTTGGAACAGTGCAAAGGATTTGGTGTGACAATGAAAATTTGACTGATTTTTTTTTTTTCCTCATGAGAAAATGTAAATGATATTTTCTTTAATTCTAGTCTACTGTTCAGATTCACAAAACTGACATCATTCCTTCATGGTGTAGCTAGTTGCAGTTGCAAAAATGGCTTGGCTCTTAAATCCAATTTCCAGGTATCATGTCTTGATGTTACTTCTATTTTAAGTCACTAATTTAAAATCCGGAATATCTATATCTATTAATACAGTGCAGTCACAAGAACAGTGTCCACAAAATCACTTTACAAGATTTTGGCTCATTTTGTTTATGAACTTTTTGCAGACCATTTTTATTTTATTGTAATAATATATGGCTTCCCCCTTTCCAAGGTATTTGTTATAAAATCAGAAATACTGTTGTAATTAGAATTAAACACCTGACAGGATTAAGATTTAGGCAGTAAAATGATGGTGAAAGGCTCTCATAGGTAACAGGCTTAAGCAAGCATAGGGTGTTTCTATACTGCTCTGCAGGTCTTTCCGTGTGTGAAGGGGCTGCTGCACAATGGATTCCTTAAAGCGTACTCTGCCTGTGCTTTGAAGTTCCCCTTAGGAACAGCTACGTTAAAACTTATCCTGCCCTGTGCTGGCATTCCTAATGTTTGCTTCACCTTGCACTTGAAGTTTCCTTATTTGTCCTAGAGCTTACTGATAAATGAGGATAAACTGAAGTTCTTGTCAAATGGCATGTTAGGAGCTATTCCATAATGTTTCATTCGTGTTTGGCACTTCTCTGTCAAACCAGAGGAAACTGTTTATAAATGACCATTCAGAACATTTGCTCTTTTCATTAAATAATTTTTAAACACTTCTTTGTCTCTTTTATAGGATTTAAAAACATTCTGTCTTGTACTTTGATACTTCTGTATTGAGAACTTTCTTAATAGCCTTTCTCTCAAGCCCAGGAAGAGAAATAAGAAGAGTAATTGTGATTTTCCTAGGCTATTGGTGGCTTTCTGGCACATAATAAATAAAACCATGTTAAATGTATCCTATGTCAAGTATGTCTGAGTTTGTATAGGCTGATCTAGTCTTATATTTAGCTGCGTATTGCAGTAGAAGTTATTTAAATACAGTAGGTGATGTTCAAGAGAAACAAAACCCTGTTCATTCCCTGAGTTCCCCTGAGAATCAAACTATGAATAAAATTACTTTTGGCAGAAATTCCAACTTGAAGTAAATCTTAGGAAGGGATGTTTGGAGAGTCCTATAGCTTGAACCAAGACATCAGTAGCCATGGACTCTTCAAATGTTTGTTGCTACCTCGGATTCGCTTAGTTATCAATTAATAACGTAGCCTTCCTTGCCTTACTAGCTGCAAGCTCTGTTTGTGACAGAAGTACTGTGTGTTTACACTATTCTGAGGATGGTATGTGCAGTACAGTGCAGGAGCACTAACCTGTATTGATGGGTTGTTTTGAAAACCAAGCTTACATGAGTTAAGGCAAAGGAAGAATGTCATTAAGTTATTGGTCTTGATAGATGGATTCAGCTTGCTTACTGCTGCAGAATAAAAAGGCCAACACTTTGTTTATAACAATATAATGTTAAAAATATTAAATATGTTTAGACCAATACGAAATGTCTAGTGCTAGTGAACAGTAGGTCACAATGTGAGCTTTTCAAAAGTGTGCTTTTTGTGGACTTTACTTCATATGATGTTTGAAAGAAAATCAATACTAAGGTAATGTCAGGATGAAATCTTAAAATGCTTAGGACAATTTAAAAGAGCAGCTGAGAGTTTGGTCCTTTATCCATCACAGGTACAGTGGTGTTGGCCCATAATAGGAAACAATTTAAAATATTTGATCTTCTTGATTAATTTGATAATAAGTTAGGAAAAAATATTTGTTATCTTTTTTTTTCTCCGGGAAGTTGTTTGTGTCACTAGAAATTGTAAAGATTTGACTTCTCAGATTGCAAACTTTCTAACCTTGAAAACACAATTTTTTGTTACTACATATGTTTTCTTGTCTGCTTGTTGGTGTGGAACCTCCTATTCTAGAAACTTAATCTCATTTTGCTTAGATTCTGTGGCTTAAAACAGTAAGCATAAAAGTGGCATTTGTGAAATCCTTGCAAGTAGAGATAATATTCTTAAAGCATTCCTTGGACATTGCTTTGAGATAAGTCAGATTGGATTTGCATGTACATTGTGAGACTGGAATGATGATCAGACACAGTAATAAACATTAGACAACTATGTGGAATAGATTACTCACTGGCAGTCTTTTTCATTTTGATCGATAAATAAGTTCAACGTTTAGTGTTTCTCAAGAACTAGTGGTAGTCTTGATGAATGAGGATGGAACTGAGGAGTTCTAAGGCCTGTAGTATCATAAGTAATTTTTTGCATTGTATTTCATCTTACTAAGTAGATGAACTATTCTAGAATATAAACATGCTTAACTGAAAACATGATTTTGAGGAGGATTAAGTAGCACATTACTATCAACCTTAAATTATACAAGATTAAGATCAAGTTTAATTAGGTATAAAAGTGTGAAATTTCACATGGGTAAGGGAATCCAGTTTAAAATCTTCCCATGTACTTAATGCAAACTAGTGCTTAGTATCTCTCATGTTCTTGTTTAGTGTTTCATTTACTGGTTTGTTCATTTCTCTCAGAAATGTAGTTGGGTAGTCAGTAAAAGCACAGTGAAATAACCAATTTTTTTTTTCTGCTTAAGTTAGCATGTGGCGTGCGTAATGCATGATGTTTAGGCTCTGTAAGCGAGCTAGCAAAAGCTGCCTTTTGATCTGTTCTAGGTGTCAGAAAGAGAAGTTAATATTCCCCTCTCCTCCATCGCCCCTTTATCTTGCAAGACATGTTCATATGGTAGCCATATGAAAACTCTGCCATATGAAAACCCCACAACATTAGTTTGATCTCTGAGGAAGGCCTTTCAATCAAAAAAATTCTTGAATTCTGATAGTGAAATTACTCAGTGCGTAAGAAAATTGGAAACCAGATACTGCATGCTAAGTATCAGTAGGTTTCTAAAAGTTCCAGGTGTCTTCTGAGATCAAAACTTTAGCAAAAATAGATCTGTTATCAAAGTTAACTTTTAAGGTAAATTGGGATCAAAGGAACCATAAATACGGGCTTATATATGAACATGCATTAGAAGTCAGCTTCCTGTTTAGAACAGTGGAGTTATATGTAATTGGTTTAGGTCAACTTCATTATGTAAATAACATTCATTAGGACTGTGGAAGCAAGGGACAGTTTTTATTGTCAGACAACAGAAAAAGGATTGTAGAAAAAGATTGTTTCTTATAAGTAGAACTGCTTTTAGATTTTGCAGAGCTGGCATGCATTTTACAAAGGAGAGGAAGCTTATGCTTTTTATAGCATATGCTAAGCTGGAGTAACTTCTAACAGTTGATTTCTTACAGTTGACAAGTTGTGGTCATCAGTGTAAAACTTTTCATGGTGAGTGAGTAAAATGGACTAATGTATAAACATTAAGCAGTTCTCTAAAACATTTCTGGAAGAATCTTAAAGATTAAGATTCTATTTCAAATCACCATATAATTGTCTGGTTACCTGTATGTTCATATGTTCTACAACAGCGCTCATATTTTCAAAGTGAAATTTTAAGAAAATTCTTAAAAAAAAAAAAAAAAATCTTGTGTGTATACTGTAGAAATAATAGCTAATCTGGAAATAATCTTGGTTGGTCAAGTTACTTAATTTACTGTGCCTACATTTTTAGGAGGAGAGAGAAAATCCAGATACCTCCTGGTAACTATTCCTCAGAGCAATAAAAGCTGACCATGGGGGTTATATGATTCACTGTTAGTAGGCATCCAGAGGAAGATTAAAAAAAAAAAAAAAATTGTGTACTCATCCATATTAAAACATTCAAACTTTATGGTGACTGTCACTTGACTCCCTATCTCAAGACTGTAAGCAGGTGCTCTCCAGATGGTATGATCTGTTTGGCTTGTGTATGAATAACATACACAATGCATTCTATGCTGAGTTCGTGGCATGAGGTTTAATACAATAGGAGCTTCGTGTGTTTATGCATAATAGAATAAGATTCTTAAATTGGAAGATAATCTAATTTTTTTTTCATTCTGATTGTAACTGTTTAGGCGTCTGAACAAGAATAAATTGCAAGTTCTTCCAGAGCTGCTTTTTCAGAACACACAGAAGTTAACTAGATTGTAAGTATTATCTGATTTATGTTTCTATTGTATGTTCCTTATTATACAGATTTGTACGTTTGTGTTTTGACTGTGGCGAAAGGTTTAATTTTTGTGACATTAGAACTGCTAGATAGTAAGGGTTCTTAAGATGATGTGTTATGTTTGCATGTGTGTAGTTGTAATTCAGTAGAGCATAAATATCAGAGAAAAGTAAAACCACAAAATTTTTCTATTCTTCATATATTCACCATGATGACTTCAAGGTGAATTATTTTCATCTCTCTATGTAGAGTTATAGAAACCATGAAAAGTGGCAACTTCACATGTCTAGTATAGTTTACACATCCACAAAAAGAGATTGCATACTTTTATTTAAAAATCAGCATGTTGACATAATACAGACTGTTATAACTTTTTCAGTTTTAAAAATTATCTTTTTAAATAAGTCAAGGCATTGCCAGGCAGACCAGCAAAGTTATGGCTGCTGCCTTGTCAGTCAGGAAGATGAGGAAATACAGAGAGGTAAAGAATTTTTCATCCTTTTGAAATATAAAAATTGCGTTATAAGATGTTTAGATGGCATCAAGACCAGTTTGAACAACAAGAAAAGAATAACAAAAGCTTGGTTTTTTTTTTTTTTTTTTTTGGTGGGGGGAGGGAGAGGGTGGTGTTAGCACGTTGACTGGATGATTTATAAAATATATTAAAAAAAAAAAGGTGAATGGAGATAAAATGGATGAACAGGTGCCTGCACGGTTACTATCAAGAAAAGAATCATCTGCCTTTTTAAAGGAGTAGTCAAAAGCTGTTCGAAATTGCTTTCTAGATCCTGCCAAAGTTAAACTCATGATCCAGACTGTCTTTTTGAAAGATGTGCTATATGGTAAAACTGGGTTTTTTTATGCTTGAGTTTGTTTATGGAAGACTAGATAGACAGACTTATGATTTGGCTAGTGAAATTGCAAAGTTACTACAGGATGGCAGAAAAGTTGTTACATCCATGTGGAGTTTTTATAACAGTTTCAATATCTCTATATGCAACCAAACAAACCATTTAGGCAGTGCAGTAAATTTTAATTCCTGTGGAAATACAAAACACATGGTGATGGTGAAGATCAATTTTGGAATCAGTTGACTATTTAAAAAACAGTAGGCTCTTTGTTGATGTTTTAAAAGCAGACAAATTGAACAGTGTTGTGAAACGAGTAATAATGATACAGTTTTGGAGAATTTCTGTTATGAACTTTGTTGTTGTCCAAACTTGCTCATGAAAAACTGTACAAGTGAATGACATCATTCTGGAGATTAAAATATGTGTATAAAAATATAAATAATTACAAACTATAGCTGTCTTTTAGTCTTAATCTGCTTGAATAATCTTCGTTGGACTTGTTTTTGCAAGCTTTGTCGTAGCTTTTGAGTGCACTAGAAAATATTTGCTCAATGGATTTGCTAGGGCTGAGTGATTTGGTTGTATTTCCTAATGTTCTTTGCATGTTTTTGAAATTTTGTATCTTGAAACTCCCCTCAAGTATAAAGCGTGAGCTGATACTTACTTGCAGATACCCTGATCTGGTCTCCAGAAGATGCTAGTTGTATTTATTTCATAGAAGAGTTGCTTTATATAAGTTGGTCGTCTAAGGAAATGGTGATGCTTTCAAGAAAATTTTTTTTATAGTGATTACATGTATCCACTAATACAAATTCCAGTTTAACATGTTGAAACTTCTGTGAGTGGTTGCATTGTACATGGCTATCATTAGGCGGAAAGGAACTTTATGGTAATTTGTGGTTTTGAGGGAAGGTTGTGTGTGTTGATAACTTGTGTGCATCTGTCTTAGGGAGCCTTGCACAAAGAAACTAAGTGAAGTAATTGAGGCTTTTCAATACCAGAGTGTGTATTTTTTAGTAGATCATGTAATCATGATACATTATAGTCCTTAATAGCAAAAGTAACAATTTTGCTTTTAGAATATAAAGATTGTAATAAAATTACATAGAATAGAATGATTAATATGAATGCTGTTTTCTGTAATGACTCCCAACGGATGCTGTTGAAACATTTGTCTTTATTCACTGACATTCATTCAAACTCTTGCTTACTGTTTAATAGTGTTTTAGATAGATCACTTTAGCACTGTTTGTCAGTGGAAACTTGCTTTTTCTTTTGAAGATACAAGTGTTATATAAATATAGTGTATATTTTAAGTAAATAAATCTTAGCTAAGTGAACTGTTATGGCTCCCAATGCAGTTTGGTTGTATGTTTTTCAGTGATGGGATAAAACCAAGAAATTTGCTACCTACTAGAATTTGTAAAAATACACACACACATATATCTTTAATACTTTGAGGAAAAAGAAAAGTATGTCCAAGGTGGTTACTTTCTATTTTTTTGTGTTACTGTCTTGGTCCTACTGCTAGTAGATTTCAGAGTTGTTCTTTCTCGCTTCTGTTATGACTTGTCTTAAGTCCAGCAGTACCAGTCTCCGTTGGTCACAACTAGCTTTCTGGGTAAAATGCTTCAATGAAGAGGCATGATGCTTGCATTCCTTTCCTGCAGCTGCTCTGACCTAGACTTTCAAGAAGAAAGCATAGCTGAGAAAGTGATGAAAGGGAATAAAAGTAGTGAAGCAAAAATTGATAAGAGGGACTGATACATGGGTGATGTAGATTCTGTGGCCTTTACGAGGAGTGAATTAAAATGAACGTTAAAAAGTGTAGATAATTGTGATCTTAATTTTAATTTTCCATAGTATAGGTATATATTTTCTGCTGCCATGGTTTCAAACTGTTGACTCTGGGCTACTAAGCTATTAGTCAATTACTTTATTCTATTTTAATAGTTATAATCCTGATAAACTAGAAAGTCCAAAATAGAGTATTTTAATTGTGTAAGCTTGCTACAGCTGAAATGATGCAAAATTTTAAGAACTAAATATTGCCCTGCAGTGTTCCACAAATGTAAAATTTGGTGTTATTAGTTGAAAACTAAGAACTCAGTCTTGTCCAAATACAGATGAAATGAGCAGTGATTTTTCTAGCTGCTCTCTTTAGCTGGCATGCAGTGAACCATAACAGCCTACAACTTTGTTAATGAAGGTCCAAACTCAATTTTTTAAAAAAAATATAAACTAAACACAAAGGTGGCGTTTTAAGTTTGATAACTTGGTAATAGTGTGAAAGTTGGGTATATTTATTATCATTAATAGAATTTGGTGGAGATCAAGTGACTGACCTGTTTAAACATGCAGGAATTTTGTGTGCTGGAGGGTTTCAGGGAGGAGCTGTTAATGTTTCAGGAATAGTTAAAGGTTGCAAAACAAACGTGAAGACTTTTCTCAGTGTTCTGTCAGCTGGGCTGAAATCTGCCTGTGAGTTTACTGGAGAAAGAAAGTTTTTTTTATGTAGTTCAGTATCAGCAGAATCTCTTCAGTCGTATTGCTGGTGGAAATTAAAATGTAGAACACTAAGCTTTCCTGTCAATAATGTGCTTGAAAAGCTAGAGGACAAACCTGTTTGGCGATGTTGGATTCTTCTTTTGTTTCATATGCATGCTGTTTGTGTAGTTTGGGACAGCTATGCTCTTGTTGCAGATGGCTTCCTTGTTTGTCACCATAGGGTACTTATGTTGGGGCACTGTGCATTTTCACTGAAATGCAGTCTTTCTGACAACTAATAAAATTTAACTTAGAATGCTTCTCATTATAACTACTTCTTCAATCACTTACACTCCAGGTACCTTTGCCTTTTTTCTCCAAGCCTCTCCCAAAATGCCAAACTACAGGATATCTTTGCATCTTTTACAGTGCGGCTTAGACTTCATTGTCACATCTGGTTGATATTAGAAGCAGGAATATATATATAGGGGAATAAACCTTAGATGGAATGTGAAACGTCCAACAAAACGAGTTTCTCATAAGGTTTTGAGCCTTTTCTTCTAGAAAGAGGGGCTTTTGAGACTCATGGATTTTGCTTGCTTTAGTTTAGATAAGAGTTTTAAGTTTAAGTTGGATGGTGAATGAACCCTTGATTGGATTCTCTAGTGGAAATGTTTGCTGTTGCTCTGTTGCCTTGATTTCCTAGGTTTTAAAGCTTCTTCAATGTTTTATCTGGGATAAATAATTAAGTATTTAATAATTCAAACTGCAGGCACTTTTAGTGAGAAAACTGAATGAAGGAAAAGGCACTTTCAATAAATTGAGGAATGGAAACAAGAAAGATATTTTTCGTATAGTTTCAGATATTATTTACTAATATGTAGCCATAAAGAAAAAGGTAATGTTAATCTTAATACAAGTGATTAAAGGCACAGAACAAGTATAGTAAACCAAAACATGTAATTTAACAGCTATAAAAACAGGCTTTGATTCCAAGGTAATTATTTTCCAATATCCAAAACAACTTGTGAAATTTATCGGCAAAGTTTGCAAACATAGCTTTGTGCATGCTGGAATCATGAGTTTCCTTTGTGTGCACAGCTGGTATATAAAATGATCGTAGTGCATCTGCTTTTCACTAAAGGCCTAGTATGCTAGTGGTCCATGAGATACATAAATATCTTTAAAAACGAAGTAGAAGTGGGAAACAGAACCCCCCCACACCCCAACAGGTAACAGTATATGTTTTGTTGTTGAAACTTCCATACATAAAGCTAGCTGCTAAGTATACAAGGTAAAGTTAAGTTCCTTTGTGTGGATGAAGAAAACTCGTAAAAGTGCTCTGAACTCAAGTCTTGCAGTGAGAATTAATACCTCCCCTGAATTTATAGCCATGGAACATTTGTTGGGTCTATTCACTTTTAATGAACTGTCTTAGTTGTCGCTTGACAAAACAAACCAGGCTCTGGAAACTTAAAGATACTGAAATCTGATAGCAAAAGTATCAGATTAGTGGAAGTATCCATAAGACTCTGACATTCAGTAGTTTACTTTTTAGGGTAGTATCAGAATCTAGAATTGAGACTAACGCTGAACATTGTGGTGTGAGAGCAGAGCCCTGGGATCCTGAACTCTTGAG